GACATACTAACAAGCCTGAAAAAAGCCACTAAAGAAAATGTTCCACATTCAAAACCTTATGTATTCCTTCATTTTTATGTCACAATGATTAATTTCTATTCAGAAAAATGGAAGTCAACTGTTCCCACCAAGCTCTCAAAACCACATTCCTTCCTATAACTGGCAAGATGAAATTTTCTGACATGAGTAGGATTTTCAACTTGGCAGCCTGAGTACTTGTGTGGATCTCCTCCTCCCTCACTCCTTAGTCTATTTGTTTAGATTTTTTTGAGATAGGGGTGCATTATGTATCCCAAGGGAGGCTGGAATCAAAATCCATTTGACTCAGACCCACAAACTCCAAGATTATAGGCACAGATCACTACACCCAGCTTTTTATAGCAAAAAGAGGATAGAAAAAAAAACATGTACTTTCCATATCATCCACAAAGAAAACATTTAAAAATGTTTTCACCAGGGAAAAGAGATTTTATTCAATGACTCTCTAGAAGACAGAAAGTAGGCAAAAGAATAGTTACTGATCACTCAACCCTGTAGCTGAAGAGGGCCATACGGTTTCACAGACCATGAACTTGAGGACAGAAATCCCAGAAAGAAGGGAATCATGGGTTGGAAATACATATGCAAAAGCCATGACTCTATTGATCAGCTCTATTCTCAAGGTAAGAAGGGCAGAGAGGCCAGGTCAGTTGGACACAGCCCAGAACTTCCCTAGAGAACAGCTTTTCTTGTCTCATTGGCTAGAGCTGCAGAGCACAGCCCCACAACAATCTCAATCAGAAAAAAAAAGATTAGAAAATTTAAGAATTTTGTTGGTTATCTTGCCATCTCAAACAATATCAGGGGATCTGGGAAAAGTAGAACATTAGTTCAGCAATCAATTACAACAATGTAAAAGCCACTTACTGACTTTCACATTTTAAAATCCACCCACAGACAAATCTTGAAAGTTATAAAGAACACATTGTAAGTGCAAGCACCGTGACAAATTAAGATATATATGTGATAGAGGCTGAGAAGTTTAAAGAAATGAGGAAAGCACCTAATCTTGTCTGCTTGAAAAGGTGTCAAAGGTAGCTTCTGCACTGCTTAGGCAGCAAATAACTACACACACACACACACACACACACACACACACACACACACACACATTTTTCTTTCTTTCTTTTTTTGGGGGGAGGTTTCAAGACAGAGTTTCTCTGTGTATCCTTGGCTGTTCTGGAACTAGCTCTGTAGACCAGGCTGACCTCAAATTCACCTGTTGTCACCCCCTCCCCCACACCTCCCCCCAAGGGCTGAGATAAAAAGTATGGCAATGCTAAGCTATAAATTTCTATATTGTGACTACATATCTTTGATTTGTTTAATTTAAAACAATCAGGAAACTCAGTCAAGATGACCCAGCTACCACTTTCTGCACTTCTGCCTAGGACCAGAGGCTGGTGTCAGCTACCAATATCCTTGTACCTTGTTGGTGTTATTTTTCTTATACATAAGTGGTTTCAATAAAGTCTTTTTTGTAAACTCTGTAGCACATAACTGTAATCCTAGTACATGGGAGGCAGGGGTTGGAGAATAATTCTGAGAGCAATCTGGAATACAAAACAAGGCCTGGCATCATGTTGCCTTCTTGAATTCTGAATTATGTGTTCATGTTTAACTCCTGGAGTCTAAGGATTATAAATTATTTTACTGAAAATGGTTTCTAAGCCTTTTTGCCTTCAAATATTGATGACAAGGTAGAGATAAGAATTTAATTTTGGTCAGCTGGGCCTGACTAAATTTAATTTTAGTCAGTACAGCCTTGTAATGTCAGTTCTCAAGAGGCTGAGACAAAGAGCACTGCCAGGAGTTTCAGGCCGGCCTAGGCCGTACAGTGAGACTCTCTTGAATAAACAAGACAGAGCAAACATCAAAAACTGTCAGGCATCGTATAATTAAGAGCACCCTTCTAATCCCAGTACTCTGGAGACAGAGGCAGGAAGATCTCTGAATTTGAAGCTATCCTGGTGTACACAGTGAGTTCTAGGCCAGCCAGTGCTACATAGTGAGACCATGTGTTAAAAAAAAAAAAAGATAAATAAAGAAATAGTAAAACAAAGAATGTTGTTGTTTTTGTTTTTGTACCACCATGCCCAGCTGAGAATGGTTAAATTTAATGAGTGATGTTTTATACACAGTTTCAACACTGGTCTAATAGCTATACAGGAACTGAGAGCCAGGTTTTTAGAAATACAGTCTGGTGTTGAAGGTGGAATGGAGCTGCTTGAGTTTCTTGTTTTATTTCAGTGGAAGAAGCCTGTGCATTAATCCAGAGTGCACTGGACAGATAAAGCAAATCAGCCAACGACCTTTCAACACGTGGCCTTTGGATTGATATATGTATTTAGTGCCTGAGAAACAAAGCTCTAGTTAATGTATGATTTTTAAGACAATACCTACCAGAAAAATCCTGATTCTTAAGCATTCCTGTCTCCCCAGTTGTTATCATTTAGAGTTAAATAGTTCTAATCTCTAGCTTTCTTGGGAGAGTTGTTGGTTTTCTTGTGGTTTCTGTAACTTTCCTGTTGTGTTTTTCCCCCCCTCTCACAAAGTGAGAGATATGTCCATGTGAAGAGTTGGTACTTGTGGACATCAGATGGGCGCAGCCAGGGAACTACACAAGGCTGGCAGGTGGTATTAAGCAGCTCCCAGGCTCTTCTGTATTTAGAGTCACTCATTTCCTTGGACTGGGCATTCTAAGTTGTACATGTGGAAGCAGTTGGCAGAGAGCCTAACAGTAGGCTGAACAAATGTTTGTTCATTCCTGTGCTCACTAGTTCACTGCCACTTTGTTCCGAGCCAATTAGTTTAAATGAGAAAATCAACTGTAGTTGCCCCTACTCTATTTCCCCCACTACTGCTGCCACCCCTGCCAACTTTTTTCATCTATTTTTTTTTATTTCAACTTCCTTTGAGAAATTGTCTCTGCCCTTTGAACTGTGCTGCAGATGTTTCCTCTGAAGGAGGTGTAGGGGCTGCGAAGCACTATGGAGCAGGCAGCATTGCTGAAGCCTGCACTTTGTAGAATCCAGGATGTAAGGGGCAAACAGGCAAACAGAACAGCTTGCACGGAGACATCAGGGTTCAATGCCAGACAGTCCACATACAATAGCAGAAAACAAGTCTTGGTTGAGTCAATAGGAAACATGGTCAGCGTGTCTGCTCCTGATTATCAGCCTACTAGAGAAAGAGCTTCTTCTTAGGTCTACATGTTTCATTTGAGAAGGGGACTTTTCCATTCTGTCTGTCATTTAAGAGCATGTATACTAGAAAATAAAGTATCACTTTCAAATTAAACTTAGTTTTTACCCCAGTTTTCTCAGTACCTTGTATGGTCTGTTAGTCTTCTTCCTTACCTGTCCTTCACTTCTAGGATCTGTATGACTTTATTTTTCAAAACGAGGAAGACTTAGACACCTTACAGATAGGAATCTGTTTTTATTGTGGCCAGATGGGCCTAAGTAGATTAGAGTTTTATCACATAAGTTCTGCTCTTTGTTCTTTATTTGCTCACCTTAAATAAGGCACTGAACTATAACATCAGAAACAGATGTTTCCTTCAATAATCATTACATTTGGGGGTCTGATAATTCCTTGCTGTAAAAAATAAATCCATCTCGTTGAGACATTAAAAATGTTCTGAAGTCTGACATCTTGGCCCATGCCTATAATGCCTATAAACTCAGGAGTCTGAGGCAAGAGAATTAACAGGAGTTCAAGGCTACTCAGGGCAGTAGAGGTGAGTTACAGGCTAGCCTGGACTACAGTGTGAGACCTTTTCTCAAAACAAGAAACAAACAAACAAAAAAGGCAAAATGTCTTCCTACTTGCCAGCAGGAGAGATAAAAATTTTCTGACATTTAATTGGTGCACAGGTTCTCCCCCTAAACAGTGAATTGCTCTGTCAGTGTTACTAAAAGAGGACTCTGGGTGTGGAGCATAGAAAGGCAAGATTAAATAACGTTACTTCCAAAACTCGCTTGGGGAGGGAAAATGATACCAGTGGTGGGGAAAAGGAAACAGAGCTCCAGAATTGGGGAACCAGACTAAAACTGTCATAATATACTTTTTTCTTACCAATTCTTAACTTTTTCTTTGTTTTTTTTAATCTAAAAAAAAAAGTGATCAAAACACATAATAGCCTACCATTCCTGCAAGTCTTTTTTTGATTTATTTTCCTTTTAGTTTCACCTACTATCATCTTTGAACATTTTGTCTAAGTAATGTATGCTGTTTAATACCTGTACCTGCCTGTCAACAAAACCAGCTTTCCAGCTTCGCTGTGTCACATGCAGCACCACAAATCTCTCAGGAGAAGGGACTAGAGAGTAGAGGGAGCAGGGTCACTAAGTGGTTCAGCACGATAAGCTACTGTGTTTGGGGGAGACACGCTACATAGAATGTCATCATAACCTCTTCTGGGGGCCTCTCTGACACTAGAGATTAAGAACTATTACTAACACTGGAATGTGAAGACTACCCTAATTTACAATGTAGCACAAGGGGCCTGCTGAAATGAAATGTAGAGGCACATTGAATGAGCTTTTTAGAGCACGAAGTTGGCTTTCACAACCATGTTTGTGAAACTGAACACAAATGCTCAACAACAATCAGGCAGATTTAGTCTTGGATATGTTCCTTAAAGTCTTTTCTTTTTCTTCTTCAAGTCTTTCTGTTACTCAACTTTCATCCATGAGCAAGTTTTCTTTGACCTTTCTTTTGACAGGCCTCTTGAGATTTTTATCTAGGAGAGCTGCCCCAGGAACTATCTACCACACCCAATATGAACCCGACCCAGTGCTAAGGCCTCCACCCTGGGGACAGGACACCCAAGATCAGGCCGTCGGGGGCAGACCGCCTGCAAACAAGGCCATAGATAGGACAAATCCAGCAGCAGATGGAAAGGCCAGGAGCAGAGACCCAACCCGAACGCTGAGGACCCCAGGGGTCCCACTAACCTCAGGTCGGTTGCGCTTCTGTAGCAAGTGCTCCAGGTACAGGTCCGAGAGTGCGGTGCGCATGCTGCTCCCACCTTCGCCTTCGCTGGACTTGAGCGTCATCTCGCAGGAGCAGGGACACCAAGACGCTGGAGCTGCAGAGCTTTGAGCCCGGGAATCGCAAGCCAGGAAACTGCGGCCTGCTCGGAGGCGTGGGATACTCGGAGGCGGTAGAGGAGATGGAGGAGGCTGAGACCAAGAGCTGCGCCTGTCACAGCCAAGAAGGGTGGGAGTCAGGAGGGCCAGGAGGAGCAGTACCCACGCCCCGCCTACTTCCCCGCCACGGCCCGCCCCTAAGCCCACCCACGCCTTGGCCTTCCTACTGCCCAGCGATTGGAGAAGGCGCAGTTTAGCGCTGCTAGGAAGCTCCGTTCTAGCCACGCCTCTGCGGGCCCTGACAAGACCGCTGCCTGCATCCCTGGAGGATAGAATTCTGAGACTGGCGCTTCCCTCTCGCGTTTACCCGCATGACTTGTGAACTAGTAGAGCAGATTCCAAAACGTCCAGCTACTGCAGCTGCCGCCCTTTACCACCCACGAGTTGCAATCAGCAGGTCACCTGATTCCTAGCTGAGGCAACCCAGGAGTGGCTTTTACCTCCAGATAGGTCGGGACTTCAGGAATCAGCCAGCTGCCCAATGGAACCTGAAGAATGCAGGGAACTGATGAGATTCAAGGCTCTTAAACTGGTGTGGTCACAAGGCCAATGTACCTTTCCAAGTTAAGACTTGTGAAAATGCCTTTAGGTGCCTGTGCTGCTGGTGCCATCATTTATGTTGATGAATGCTATTCAGTGAGAACTGCCCTCAAGAGCAAACTGATTTTACTTACCTTAGGCCAGATCTCCTGTTGTTAATGCCACACAATTTCTAGAAATTAACGAAAGCAAATGGAACACTCTTTAGGAATCAGAGTAATATCCCTAAACATCCAAATGTCCTGGAGATTAATAAAAGGCTTTCTGAACAAAATTAATGTTTACTGGGCTAACATAAATGTTCCTTGAGAACTCGGTTCTAAAACCCTGAGCTCACATGATTGGTAACTTGAACCCTCCTCCTATCCCCAGAGGAACTATTTTTAGGTGGAAAAGAGATGAGAAGAGAAAAGGAGAGGTGAGAAGGGCCAGGGAAAGAGCGATTGGTTCAGAGAAAGGGTATACACTGAGCAAAGTTACAGAATAGACAACTCTGTAACACACCTGTGCACATACACAGGGTACCAAACAATAAAAATAGCTCGGTGAGTAAAATAGGGCCTTTCATTAACTGAAGATGGAACTGGAAAAGATGGAATTGGAACCTTGCTTTATGTGATATGCGATGGGGACTGTTGTTATAAAGAATGAAAATCCCAATCATTTGATTTTACCAATAAAAACTTGGGAGCCTGATACTGAAGTGAAAACCTACTAGCTCAGAGAAGCAGAGAAAGCCTTTCTACACAGTTGCCGACCCAAAAGGAAAAAGCCTTTCTACTCAGCTCACGTCCCTGAAGGAAAAAGCCAAAAGCCAAACGCCCAAGGCAAACGCTTGCTAGCTCAGCTGACAGAATAGGAGGAAAAGACTTGCTGCCTCACCCAGAAGCCCAGGGGGTGCCAAGAAACCCAGCTCAAGAACTAAAGAGCTAAAGCTCCTTCTACTTCTACACGCTGTCTTAAATACCCCTCAACTCAAAGTCCCTCCTATTGTTTAATGCCTGTCAGCTGGTTTCTTGCTCTACCTCTTGACCCAGGGTTAACTTTATTAAATCCTGTGTAGAGAAAGCTCTTGGATTAAATGTGTGTTAGGGATGGTTGAACCACACCATAATCACCTGTTCATAATAACAGAAAGTTCTTGGATTAAAGCTGTATGATAGGGTTCAACCACACCAAACAAGAAACAGGGTTTTACCATTCACAATTTTGGGGTTCACAATGAGATCAAATATCCTGCATTAGCATGCAAAATTCCTGGGTTCAGCTCTCATTAATACACACACTACTCATGAAAGTGCATGCCTATAATTCTAGCATTTGGGAGATGGAGGTAAGAGGAGTAAGAAGATGAGAAGTTCAAAGTCACACTGTCCCTGAGTAAGTTTGAGGGTAACCGGGGATACATAAGACCTTGTCTCAAAAAAAATAAAATAAAATAAAATAAAGGAAAAAGAACTTAAAAACAACAGAGAACTAGACATAGTGTCACATACTTGTCATCTCAGTCCTTGGGTGGTAGGTACAGCAGAAACTTAAGTTTAAATTCAGCTTCAGCTACAAGGTGAATTTGGGGCCAAGTTGTGCCACACTAGACACTTTCTCAAAAACAAACTAGCTCCATAATATAAGGGAATGAATGTTAGCGTATAGGCAGCCTGTTTCTGGTTGCATAGTGACCTATGATGTCATTATGTGTCACCCACTGGGTGTGTGGCAGGCTCAGTTCAGCTGCACAAACACAAGCTATAAGGACCAACTTGCCACTTTGCGTCACTCTTACCTTCCTCTCTTACTATCCTCTCTTGCTCTCTCTGCCTCAGTTTCTTTCCTGCCCACACCATCATATCTCGTTCCTTTCCTCTCTATCTCTACACCACCATCCAATAATCTCTTTCATTTAATATCTGTTGTGTGTGGGGGGGCATCATTTTAAAATAAATACTAACATTTGGTAGCCCATACGGGGAGGACACTTCTAGCAATGTTTATACATGCTAGAACCCTCACATGCCTACCCACAGCAAATCTTTCTCTCACACCTTCATCTCCAGCTTCCTTCATGATCACTTAACCCATCTCTGCCTGCTGCCACTGTGTGCTTCTGCCCTGCTTCCTGCAGCTGCTCAAACATGCATGCAGCCCAAAACAGATCTTTTTTTTCTCACTTGATACCCTTTTCTGCTCTGGTCCTTTCCTCACTCACTATTTGGTAAGCGAGGCCTCTGGACCCTCCTGCACAGCACAGAGGGTTTTAAAACTGCCCTCAAACAGCTTTCAGTTTTGCCACTGCCTCAGGCCCCAAGAATTTGGGTTTTAAATGTCCTGCCTCGATGATGTGCTTATGTGTGGAGCAGGGTTTTTGAATTGAGCTGACACCCGCTCAGCCCTGCAACTCACAGTTTAGAACTGCTGCTGGGCAGGGACCTCCATACAGTCAGTCAGCAAGGCCCCAAGGCCTGCAATCCCGGTTCTGCATTGCCACTGCGGCTGCACAGGACTCATGACTAGCTGCCATGTTGATTGTGGGATAAAGAGGGTGGAGCTACGGCTTCACTGCCATCTCCACTAAGGGCAAGCACATGGTTTCAACTCCCTCTTAACTAAGGGCAATCAAGGGCAGGCACATGATTGGCAGACATCTTGGTTATAAACAACAACAACAACACTGCGGTTTCCCCTCTGCCGGCTGCTTTCACTACCTTGTTTCTGTCCCACTGTTTTCAGAGTTTCAAAAAAGCAGTCTCTTGTAGACCCTAAAAGGCCACTGCACCCTGTCCTACCTCCCCTCTAAAGCTGCCTATCTGCTCCAATCCTTTCCCGCAGATTAGACTCCCTCTAGGAGAACTTGATCTTACTGCTGATAAAGCCCCGGTACTAGGCACCGAAGTTGTCAGGCTTAGCCGGGCTAAGCCCCTGACCTGCTGTGCTATTTGGTTGATGAACCACTAGCCACATGGTCCATTTCCATTTCCCCTTTCTCATTTAAAGAAATGGCTTCTTCATATTCTCTCCCCTTTGAGAAACCTCTGGCTTCTACACTTATATTTGCCCTACTCAAATGTCTACTATCCAGTAACAGTAAGAGCGATCAGTGAAGGAAAAAGCGATTTCCTATTTCTCTTTTCTCAAAGTCCTGTCTCTTTCTCTCTGCCTGCCATCCCATTAAATAAAACTACTCTCTCGTTTCTTTTTATGCTCTCAAACAAACAAACTTTAAGATTAAATTGTAAATCTTAAGGTGACCAGATGATATGAACAATTTTAATAATAATTAATTCTCTGCTTATTTAAACTCATTTTAGGCTATAAAATCAAGTCTCATTTAAATTGGTATGGATTTTTATAAAAATTCAAAGTTATATTTTTACAACATGCTGTGTAAATGATTCAACCCTGGTTCAAAATAATTTTTATGTGGTGCTAAAATTTCAAGGTTATAAATGTCTGTTCAGATTTACAAGCTAATTTAAAATGTATGTCTAACTGCCTATGTCTTTATCAGTTCCTGAATTAATGAATAAATGCTGTCGCCTCCCCGCCCCCCATCCCCTGCTGGTGCTCTGGATTCACCACTAGGCTTTCTGGCAAAGAGATTTGGTATGAGTTCAAATGTAATTTTAAAATTGCTTTTTACTGTTCTACTATATTGTTGGTTTTAAAACTATGCTCCAGACCTTAGCTGTTGCTCTGAGGCTGTTGGCATTCCCATAGAAAAAAACAAGAGGTCTGCAGTGCCCCATCCTTTGGGTGGTCCACCCTGCCAGGTGCCAAGGTCCACCCTGCCAGGTGCCTGTTTCAAATGCAGCCAGGAAGGATCCTAGTATTATGTGAGACCAAGTCTCCTGGGAGTCTTCCTTGTAGCCCCCGGCACTGCTTGTGATGACCTGCTTTGTCAGCTTGTGCCCCCGAACCTCAGGTTCTCTTGTACTCCATGGGGACTCCCTAAAGATTGGCAGAACTGACTTTTCTCTCTTCACCCATGAGAATCGTGTCTTCCACCATACCCCCAGGCTCTCTTCTGAGAGGCCTTCTAAATAATTTCACATCCCTACACCTCACACCCGCTTTAAGGGTTTCTAGGCTTACACATTTCTGCAACCAAACTTGGCCTCAATTCCCTTAGATGACAGATCCAAAGCAAAATCTTTTAAATTACTGTCAGTGATTGGGTAAATGGAGGTGCCCTATGTTCAAGGTTCTCTTCTTTGATCCAAACCTTCCATCTCTGTTCTCTCTTCCAAAAGTTTCAAATGTACACCTAAAGGTAACATACACCTAAAAGAATTTTTCTCTGTAACCTACTTAACTTTGTCCTCTGTTTGTTTATATATATATATATATATATATATATATATATATATATATATATGTATGTATGTATGTATGTATGTATGTATGTTCCAGTATCCTGCCAGACCCAGGTGTTTCCTACATCCAGGACAGTGCCAAAGCACCTACCACAGGTGTTCCAGTCTGACCTCACAGACTTCCATCAAGCTGGACCTGCACTTTCCCTCCCAGCCACCAATGTTCTCACAGACCCTGGACA